AAAGCGCAACATAGCACCCCAGAGCCATATACTAACGATTTAGCTGGAGCCGCTTCAGGCTCCCCAAAGAATCCCACCACACACCAGGAAGCTCTATTAATTATTATTAATTTCTCTACCTGGTTCTATGTGCTCGTGCAATAAGCATTGTTATTATTATTATTACTAATATAGCGCATTCGGCACATCAAATTCAAGAATAATTTTGATGTTTGTGATCCAAAATACCAGATCGAAACACTGCCGGTGTTTTCTGTCAAATACGGAACCACTTCAGCTTAAAGAAGAGCATTCTTTCTTCTTTTTTTCTTTCTTTTTATAACCATTTTTGATTACATTACCTTTCTTTAGATTAATATGATTTCCTCCTTTTTCGTTCTATTTCCTGCAGAAGCGGTCACACATCCCGGATACTGCTTTGACGAACTCTGGCTACTGTACGGCCTCCATGGGACAAGCTGAAAACTGACACCTTAGAAGAGTACTTTGGAGTGTATAGGCAACTGGCTTGCTTCTAATATCAGGTGTCTACAAGGCACATTTGCGAAGATGAAAACAGAATACTGCTGTGGAGCACAATGTCAACAGTCACTACAGCTAGCAATGGAATCTAGAAAGACATTCCCAAGCGAGCGGATACTTGACGCCCTACCTGCAACGTGGTATACCTGCAATGTGGCCCTGGGCTGTAAAAAAAATAAGGCACAGCCTCCCGGCCTTGGGCTATGTGGCCAGCTGTGCACTCTACACCACCTTGAAAAACCTAAGGGGCGAAAAATGCAAGGCCGCATCGACAACACGAAACAAGTTGGCTACAGTTTGCTTGCACAAGAAGACAGAGCTGGTGTAAATGCTGTAGCGAAATGAATGTTTGCATTAACGCCAAGAATGCCAAACAGAAGAAATGAAAAGCTGAAACTCGATCAAAGACACTCGCTGCCAACCGTCACGGATGTCAAGAAGCGAACTCGGACCAAGGAAGAGTATGTCTGACGCCTGTGATGATGAACCCATCGTGAGTTCGAGCTGAAGCATGTGTTGGACTGCAGTGAAAACTTTCAACTGAGAAACCTTTGTTGCAAGATACACTAAGAGGTCAAGCCTAAACAAATTAGTTCGTGTCCGGCCAGCAACATCCTTGCGCTTCATCCTCATGCAAAGGCAACTGCTTCCTGAAGTCGGTCGATCTGTGTGTGTGTGTGTGTGTGCAGATAATCGGTGTCCTTGTAGCAGTCTGTTGGGTATCTTGTGGTGCTACAACGTAAATGCCAACATGCTGCACAGATATTGTGTGTCTCGGTGTCACATAATCTACAGCATCTAAGATGCATGTGTATAAATGGTTTTGAAGACGGATATTTTCAGAACTTATGGATACCAGGAGGCTCGTTTCGCAGTGTTCAAAGGTGACCAATTTCTTCTTTATGACTCTTCTGCATTGTAAATGCAAGCAACTTTGAATATGATGCTCCCATGCCCACTTCTGTTTGTGTACAAAACTTGTTTTTAGCTGTTCTAAATGTGTCGTTTCACAGACTCGGTACTGTCGAAGTACATCTGCATATGGGGCAACGCTCGGGTATTGCGGCACTTTTTTTTTTCAAATATAAAGTTTTCACATTATGACATTGCCAAGAAATAGGTCACAGGTGTTTTTTGATGTAGTAACCAGATAGGTTGCTTGCTGCAAAACAAGTACTATATTTGAACAGGCAGAGTGCTTTGAATTGCTGAACCTATGCAGGTTGATCACAGGTCTAAGAAAAGTTTGCCAAAATGTGTGGAATACATTTTTCAAAATATGTGCAATACATTTTTCAAACCAGCACATCACAATTTTAGAATGTTATTACTTTTATACTTGTCTGGCAATTTGGGTCGCGTTGCTGTTGCATCAGATGTCCCTAAGGGTAGTGTACTCGGGCCTCTATTGTTTCTAATATATATCAATGACCTACCATTATCAATTAAATCGACAATTAGACTGTTTGCTAATGCACGAGTTATTTACCGGAAAATTAATACACCTATATTAATCACAAGACGATTTAGATACAATATCATCATGGTGTTCCCTATGGCAGATGAACATTAACACATATAAATGCAAAGAATTGTCCATAATTAAGTCCTCCACTAAAACACTAACCCAGTACTCGTTACTTTCCAAACCACTAGAAGACTCACTGTCGTACAAGTATTTGGGCGCGTATTTCACAGACTCATTATCATGGATTGAGCAAGTAACAAATAGCGCACTAAAAACACTTAATTTGTGAAAAAGCCATTTGTACGAGAAAATTCTTGTGTTCAATAAACGCATGAATCATGCAAGATATATGATAACCATATAAGAACTATATAAGATATATAAGAAACTTCTTACAAATTTCTTATATTATTCTAATCTACTTCTTATAGGGCTCTTATATGTTCTTATATATCTTGCATGATTCATACGTGTTTATTGGACACAGAAGTTTCTCATACAAATGAGATTTTTAGTAGGGATCTAGCTCTTATTAAAGCAAAACTACTCGCATACAAAACATTTATCCTCCCACCATTAGAATATGCGAGCATAATTTGGAATCCACACCTAAGTTACCTATAATCTAGAGGCTCGAATCTTCAGAACAAAGCAGACAGATTTATATGTAGTGATTATTCATTCGAAACTAGTGTCTCCGCTTTAAAAGCTAGCATAAATCTTCCTAATCTAGAAAGAAGACGAAAAATAGTCTGATTGTGTGTTTTTTTTTTTCCAAGATGTATTTTACTCAGATTATAATTTTCAATCTACTTAGTGCTGGGCTGCCAATTTCATATCATCCATGTTAGATAATTCCTTCAAGATTGAACCATTTCAGTGCCATAATTACACTTTTTTCTTCCTTAGTACCTTGCAACACTGACTAGAACAAACTACCTGACCATATTGTAACTGAGAGATATCCCTTTTCATTGAAAAAGTGCATCAATTTGTGTAACTGAACTTTGATTTGTAAAACTGCATCATAACAATAACATGCTAATAAGCGGTTTTGTGTGTGTGTGTGTGTGTGACATTTTCTTTTTGTTGGTGTCTCTTTTATGTTCAATTACTATTGTGTCTTTTATTTATTTGAATTCCCCCTGATGTAATGCGTCTTTGGATGCCTTTGAGGTGAATAAAATTAAATGACATGAATGCCTCTGCATCATTTATTCAATTGTGACTTTAGTTCATTTTATCTGGTCCTACTACCTCGAATATTGCCATTTCATAGGAATTCCTTTTTTATACAACTCCCATGTCGTTCAGAGATAATTACACCACCCAGTTTATCGCTTAAAAAATAACACATCTGTCTCAAGATATCACTTTCTTGTATTTCACTACAATAATTTTAGGTTATATTAATTTTCCTGCGTTCTAAAATTGGTTCTTTAAATCACTCGGCGTTCACAGCTCTCATGTTAGCTCATAAAAAATAAATAGTGCGAAAACCCGCGTTTCTACGACGTAAAAGCTACGCGCGAAGCCTTCAGCTCAGCTCTATAGCGCGGCGCTCGTCAGCCTGCTGCCGTGGCGTCACCGGAGGCGTGTGCTGGCCTTCTCCTCTAGGTGGTGTTGACTGGCGCCGCCGCATGCCCAGCTGTGCGCCTCCGTTGCGTAGTAGACAAGTCTGACGTTGCACCGGAGCCGCTTGATAGCGCCTCTCAATTTGTGCGCATCAGCTCGCGCTACGTATATCCTGGCATAGCCGAGCTAAGCCACCGCAATTTTTTCAGTAAGACATTTTTTTTCTAGTTTTGACTTTATTGCAATAGGGCCTTACGTTTCACGTCTTCTTTCCTTTCTCTTGCGTTCTGCTTTTGTTGCAATGACGTCACGGAGCTAATAAACAGAATGGAAGGTAGAAATGAAACTCAGCGCTCCGATTTTCCCAGAAGGGCACTTCCCTTTGCTTGTGTTCAGTCTTAGATAAAGCTTCGTTTTACAAATTTTTGATTTATATACAAAACAAATGCACATCAAATGCCTCAAATAATAGACAAACTCTAAATAAAAAGAAATATTGTTTCGGGAATAGTTTTGTGAGAAAGCCTGGTTGGCTTAGATCATCAAAGTAAAACTGATCTGATTCAAGATCACAATTAAAACCTAGCTTTGAATCACCGATTTTTATTCTTCACCTTTACTGAAGGTTATTTCGAAAACTACAACATTGATAAAGGAAAGGTAGGGGGAATTTCCTTTAACATTTGGTTGGACATCTGGCACGTCACCCTTTATCATTCGCAGTGTTCTTCCATTCGTGCGCCATTTTGGTGCCACCAAATACCGGCTTTTCCACTGCATCATGCGCTATCGAAAGGCGACGTTAGAGCGCACGTGACTTACCTAGCAGTGTGCCATTCTTTGTGGTGGCGTAGCTAGGCCATCCTTAGGTCTTTTGTAACCCCTCCCTCCTTCCCCCCCCCCCCCCCTCCAATTGACTCCCCGAGGTCGCAACCAGTAAAGCGGGGGGTGCCGGGTGCCGCCAGAGGTGCCTGACGTTAGGACAGAATAAAGGCATAACGGTGCCTTCATGCTGTGACTTCCTAGGTTCTTGTTCAAATTCCAGGTTCGAGACGTGATGGCGGGGCGAGTCTCGTGAAAAAGGTGGACCTCCGTAACTGTTGCAGTCTGTTCTTATCATTTCTTAATCTAGACCTCAGAGGACCTCGCCTCCCGTCACAACAGAAATCTGTAAGAATCGGCAAGCGAGCCCCTCCAATCCTGATGCGCCCTTGACGTTTTGCAAATCCGAAAGACAACGTTCTGGAGGCGTGACCGTGCAGTACCTTATTCACCGTGGTGCAATTGACATGGCTGGTATGCTGTCTTCTATGCAGAACCTGATTGTGGTTCTCCTTTGGAAAGAGAGCTATCATAGAGAGAAAGGTGATATTGATGCCGTATTATTAGGTCGCAGCAGCTATAGAATTGAACTAAGTGATGCATGGAGTTCCAATGAAAAACAACGCAAGGACAGAGTAAAACTGGACAAATGCAGGTTTGTATCTTTTTGGCACTTCCATTCTCTCCTTGTGTTTGTTAATTTATTCAGTAAGCAAAAAAAAAAAAAATACACAGCGACAAAGTAAAAGAACTGAAGATATGCAGGGTTGTATTTGTCTGGCACTTTCACTTTCTCCTTGTGTTTATTTATTTAGTTACCTTCAGGTCCAAAAACATTACAGAGTACTGTGGTAAGGCACATAAGAATAAAAATAAAAACAAAGACCATGGCAACATAACAAGAACAAAGAACAACTGTACAACACTTTACCAAAAACAACTCAGACCCATCAGCTCAAAAACTCGAGTTAACAAAGATTTGGCTCTAGCCAAGTGATTCCACGTTACAGAAGAGCTGTGAATAAAAAGAGCATGACAAATGTTTTGTTTGACAGGACTAAATGGTATGATGGTAATCAATGCATACTGAAATTAATGGTCTTGATAGAAGCCACTTGTTCAGAATTTAGTAGTTACCTCACAAAACACAGACAATGCATTGCTCTGCAAAGTGAAAAAACAATAATGATAAGCATACCTTAACCATACTTGAACAAAACAAAAGGTGTCAATAATTGGAAACTATAAAACAAGATCTGTGATTTTGCATATAAGATTTTACAATTTCAATTCCAAGCATAAATGTTTGCTTGTCATAGTTCTTTCTTAACTCGTCTTAGCACATTCCTATGCTGGAAGGAGGTTTATGCCACAAATGAAAGATTACTAAGGAATACTAAGACAATATTTACTTTCTTTTTTTTCATGAACACAAACCTCTGCTGATCTGCTGTGTAGCATGCAAAACAAACACAAAAGGTTACATCAAGATACAAAAAGCTAATGAAAGATAAAAACTAATGCAAGAAATACAACACAAATGCATAATAAGCATACTTACAAGGATAATCATTTACATAGGTGAATGAATTTTAGATGGCAGAGCTTGGTTCACATAATCAAATAATATTGTTATTTCAATTACATTATGATGAAGGAGTTGTTGTGAGAGCTGGTTGAAGACCACCTACTGCACAAATATATATCTGGTTTTAAAATATTTTATGGAAACTTTCTGGTTTCATCTCATGCTCTACATTTGCTTCAGCACGTGCCCAGCTGCTTGAGTGCAGTGTCACGAAATGTGTTCAGCCAGAAGTATCCAGGAATGGTAGAAAATAAAGCACTCTGGGGCATGGCAGAACAAAAATGCACCTACCGTATTTCCTAGTGCAAGTCACTTTTTGTTTTTAAAAAATTTCCGTCAGTGCATTTTTACAAGGATGCAACTTATATGGAATATTTTCTAAAACTAGGGGCCTCAACTATGAAAAATTGCCACAGTGGTCATATTTCTCATACGATTTGTTGACATATGCGGGCTTTTCAATTCATCTTTGCCGTGCCAATCAAGCATTACAGGACTAACATTTTGTAACAGTAAAACACTCCCAGTCAATGTGAAGCTATTAATTTACAATTCTTTATTTATTTTTTTCTCCCCTTCACTACTGCAGCTTGGTCTAAAGTAAAAACAATGTTTACAAACTTCCAAAATTATTTTTGTTGCTGAAAAAAGTTATAACAATAAAATCTAATGTGCCTTATGATTTTCATACAGATAGTCTGTTTGAGAATTTTAAAGTGTTAAAAATGTCTGACCTCAATGAATACAAATTATGACAGAGTTTAAAACTAGAAACAAAAAAAAACACTATAGATTACTCTCAAACCTTGCGGTATTGACACCAAATCAACTCGTCTACTTTACTAGACACATGGAATATTGAATTGTCATTCCTTGTCATACTAAATATGGTACTCAAATGCTACATTATATTATGCCTAAACTGTTAAACTTCCTTATAGAAAAAAAACATGGCTTAGAGATTATCTTTTACAAGGCCCTGCGATTGTTTTTTCTGTACTAGCAACTTCGGCAACTCACTTCAACTTTTTGTGTATGCTAGTGATCTCTGTTAGATAACATGTATTCCCGTATTTTTCTTATTTCGTGTTTGAAACAGCAGTGCATGTATTTGATATTGTTACCATGTAATAATTTTTTTTTTTTTTAGCTGCTAAGCCAATGTATAGTGCTAAGGGCTAGTCAAGCCTCCACTGAGGTTCTTACCCTTTGCTCCACCATTAAACGTGGGAATAAACATTATTATTATTATTGTCATACAAATATAAGGTGTGACTTGTACAAAGGTGCGGCCTATATACCAAAGTTTGAATGTAAACAGCCGTTTATAGCTCAGCGTGACTAATGCACAGATGTGATTTACATATTGGAAAATATGGTATATGCTCATTACAATGGTGACTTAATGGTTCTCTATTAGTGATGGTTCCCTTTGCAGTTCTGACTTTTATAGTGTTAAAAGGCAGCCAGTACTGGCAGGTAATAGATGATTTATGAAACAATCAGTTACAGGTGGTCCAACCAAGATGGTCTTGAATAAAAGGGTAAAACGACACTACAAATAAGCCAAGCTACACTTCCCTTTACTACATGACGGATGTCCCTCACGGATGATGCTCCTTTTGATGAGCATTTAAATAAGCTTGCTGCACAAATTTTTCGCCACACTGCTTGCAATGGAATGGTGGGTCTCCACCGTGAAGTACCTCGTGACACCTCAACTGGCGCCGCCGGATAAACGCGGCCCCACACGTTCCGCACTTGTATGGTTTTTCACGCGTGTGGACTCTTATGTGACGCTTCAAGTCACTGCTTGCCACAAATGCCATGTGGCAAGTCTGGCACTTAAACGGCCTTTCCCCCGTATGAAGCCTCACGTGAGCCTGCAGGCTATTTTTGTGTGAAAATGCCTTCTGGCAAGTCTGGCACCTGAACGGCTTTTCACCTGTGTGAATTCTCTCGTGAACCTGCAGGTTACCCTTCAGTGCAAACACTCTGTGGCAGATGCGGCAGCTGAAGGGCTTCTCGCCCGTGTGCGTTCTTTCATGCTTCTTGATGCCCGCACTTTGACAGCTGGAGAAAGGGCAGAACCGGCACTCATACTTCTTCTCGTGGTGCGGGTGTGCCATCGGCTGCCCCACGGTGAACGAATCATTCTCAGAAGCGTGTTTGCCCTTGACGTCTTCACAGCCAGGAGCCTCTTCTTTGACTTTAATGGCTTTCGTGACAGACACTGCGAGAAACAAGACATTGTCTTCAACAGGCGTTTCTTTTACCAAGAGTAGCAGCTTGAAGACCAAAGTCTATTTGAGTGTCAACACAGGTGTAGTGGGAGGTGGTTGTTCACTAAATGGGTGCCACACTCCACAAAAAACATTGTTCTTAGTGCCTGGATAGGACACATCTGTCACAAAATAGACTTCGAAAAAACAAACAAAAACATTTAGCATATATTTATTTTACCAGACTCATTTTTGAGTTAGGTGCTTTTGTTTCAGGGTCAACGCCTCGAAAGCAAACCACGTTACAAAATTGTTCCGAACTCCAAATGTGTCTTGCAACATCAATACTGCATTTATATATTTTCAGGAAAAGTACATTTCCTGATGTACATACTCAATCCGGGTACTTAAGAATTGTTTTGTGTGAGTTCAGCATCTCTTTAAAGGGGCACTGACAGGTCAAAATCATATAGTTTTTTTATTATCCAAAATGATAGAAAACGATGCCTGGACATTACCCTCTAATTCGAAACTTGGGAACTCAGCACTTGTGAAGTAAAGAAACAATTCCCAAAATCCAAATTTGAGGTTCCCGCACGATCCACGCCAGTGCAGTAACATCAAAGATTATGTCGCCCTGCAACTCGAGTTTCTCTCACGCCCGAGTCATGTTCGTCCTTGTCCCGTGATCAACCGCTTTGTGCGTGCCGCCCCTCGCTGTGAGCAGACAACGCTTCACTTTCGAGTTTGAAGTTTCAGCAATCTCAAATTCTTTGAAACCGTATGAGCTCGAAGAGAACGCACAGTCGACTTTTGTGAGTGACTTTAGGGGCCACATTGCGCCGGTGCTGCGTAAAAGGCTGCCACAGCGGAGTCGCGACCAAAGCTACAGTACACAGACACCAAATCCAGTTGTTTTGATCGTTTGACGATTTTCTTTTCGAAGTCTGAGAGATCGTCAAACACCTAAAAAAAGATAACTTTGTCCGATGCCCCGACTCGCGGATCATTCTCAGTGCTACATACGTTGAGCGCCGCCATGTTTTCTGACAGAGGAGAAAAAGACGTGGGGCGACATCACTCAAGACTCTGATTATCGGTATTTCAAAAAGATGGGCCACAGCGCGTTTGCAATTGCGTTAAAAAACATGTTTTATGAATGCCGTTGATAAATATTGTGGAAATGTCGCTTACAGAGCTTCTACATTTCATAATCAATTATGCCACGAATAAAAAAAAGCGAGGAGGTGAAAAGCGAGAGAGAAGGGCGCACAATAAATTTTTTTTGCTTTCCGGTATTTTTTTTTTGCATGTCTGACTACAACCTGCATTGTTTTTGACAACAAAATTCAAATACGACCTTTGTCAGTGCCCCTCTAAGGTCAGCAGATTCCATACATAGATTGCTTTAGGTGTGTAACATCTTCTCCACACTAAGGCTAAATAAAAGTCAGTAAATATGGGGGTTTTATGTGCCAAACCGACGGGCATCTGGCACGCCCCAGCGGAGGACTGAGGATTAATTTGGATCACCAGGGGATCTTTTGAGGTGCAACCGAAAGCTCGGTTACACGGCGCCTCCTCTGCAATAAGCCTCCGTCAGATTGCGGGCACCTCGGCTGGGATTCAAACCCGCCACATGGGGATCCGTAGGCCAGCGCTCTCTCCGAGGCGGCTCTAAGACTAATTAAAACTCAGGCTAGCTTTTCTATTTCATGCTTGATGAATACTCAAAATCAGCAATTCCTATACCCACTCCCCCGTCGTCTAACTAGTAAGCTGGCAATGAAATAGTGCTTGCAGCCTCACTGAAACATGTTATACACAACTAAAACATATTGGTGGATCCTGTGTTGAAAGTGACAGGCCTCTCTGCTAAAAGAAAATGCAACGATTTTAATGCAGCACTTTCAAACTGGCTTCATACACATGAACACTGCTCTAGCGGACTGGGTCTAGTTGGCAGTTGGGTTTCAGGGAGAAAACAGTTGTGTGTAATTTTCCATGCTCTGGCCACACACAATCCTAATGCTGTCACATTGGTGGCAAGAGGGATGGTTGCGAAGAACTAGTCGTGCCAAAAGTTGGCTGGTGGAGATGCCCTCCCTATTGTATGGATTCCGTAGGGGTGTATTCCCTAGATTTTCTTTAAGACAGCGGCAACAGATTTTAGCACAAGGTTTAAAAGAGGCTGAATAGACAAGCATGGTAGATCTGAATGCAACGACACAGAACACTGTCCACATTTAAGGCCATTTTCAGCAAACCAAGCCCAGGGCAATGTCCAAGAATATGTAACAGAGCAAAAAGCGCTCCAGTGATAGTCAGGTCCCACCTATTACAGAACATTTAAACCCAAAAGTGGTAAAGCCGGAAAAGCCTGAACAGAACAAATAGCATCATCACTGAATATACAGAACCATTTTGTACACTGGCAACACAAAATGAAAAGAAAAAAAAAATGATTGGAGGCAATGTAAAAAAGCTTGGCATATTTTCTGTTAGAGGGACTGGTGTAGTATGGCTGTACCCCTTAATATAATAAAAAAATGACAGCCCGGATGAAAATTCCAATTAAACATATTTGGAATTCCAACTGGTTTTAACTGGAACCAATCGGTTTTAGTGGGTTCCAACTGGAAACATGCTGGCCAAGGGGTCTCACCAACTGGAATTATTTCTCTATAGTGAGTGACAGGTCAAGAACAAAGTGGAAGCTCCACCCGCCCCTTTCCACTTTAGTGGAGCAAACGGTAAAGAGGAGGTCGCCTCCTCTTCAGGGTTCGCTCTACTAAAGTGGAAAGAAGTGGGAGCTTTTACTTTGTTCTTGACCTGTCACTGAGTATAGCTGAAACCTAAGTGGGTTCCAAATGGTGGTCCGTTGGTTCCAATTGGCAGTGACCAATTGGTTGTCCAAAAACCCAATTGGTACCAATAGAAAATTCCACTTGGAACCTAATGGGAATGTTCAACTAGAAGGGTACTATCTGAGGTTGCTGAAAAAAGCTGCAGTCCTTTAGGAAAAGTCCTTAAGGGGAAGTTATTTAGGGGAAGTCCTTTAGAGGGCTACTGCACAACAGTGGTTTTGTTTGCAGAGATGTGACATTGGTGGATTGGATCAGGTGGGTCAGCTATTTGGGGTGGAGAAAACGGACAATAAACTGGACACAACTGGCCAAAGCACGGCAGCATCCAATGTAATCCAAGTATGTCGTATCTATGTGAATAAACATTCTATGTGAAAAATCAAGCCGCCGGAAGTTGGCTTGACTGGTGGGCGGTCCGTTCTATGAAGTAGCAATGTGCGGATTCGCTGCAATTGGTCCAGGACAATGGAAGAGAGATTGACCTGCAAATAAAAATTGGGAATTTATTAATGTGTCACTATGTTCAGGATGTCTAGAAGCTACAACAGGAGAAAAAAAAAGCAGGCTACAATTGCGGCAAAGAGGAAAGCAACTTGCCACATGGTACTTCTATAAACAAAAGTACAAATCGAGAAATTTTCCCGTATCAGCCAAACCAATGTAAACTTGTGCCCCATGAAATCACCTGGAATGCATGCCAGGTCACTCATGGTTTGTTTGCGGATGCAAGTTGCCCTGTTAGAGACATATTTTACAAGTGCCTTCTTTGGGGGCTTACTGTGCACAACCACTAGCGTATTGCTACGTAAGGTTGTTAAGGAAACATGCACCAGGGGAAATTTTTCTTTCTTTTATTACAATACAGTGCAGTCCACTTATAACGATATTGAGAAAACCGCAAAATCCAATCGTTATAGCCGATTATCGTTATATCTGGACCGACAAAAAAAAAACACAAAGAGAAGTTACTTACGGGCGATGAGTGAATCAGGTCGTACAACGCGAGCCGAGGCAAAGAAAACCGAAGGCTTTATTAAAAGGTACGAAAATGACTATAAAATAATTTAAGCATGCTTAAAAAAGTCGGAAATTTGCGCTTGCTTGAGCTGAAGTTTGACAATTGCCGTGTGCATTGCTTCCAGTTGTTGCGCGTACGCTGGCGGCAGTCCTTTTGCGTGCACAAAACCGACCAGCGACTGGATGGAGAGCAGGGCATTTTGTGAAGACATTGGAGGCGGGGTGTTCTCGTCGCCGCCGTCGTCGTCACTACTTTCGCAGTCGCTCGATGTGATTTTTCGTCGCGATTGCTGTTCCTCGGCAATGGCCTCATCAGTAGACTCCTCGCATGAAGCGGCAGCGTTGTCCGCGTTCAAAAAGTCTCCCAAGAGAGCTCCGCCGATGTTCTCCTCGGAAGCTGCTATGTGGTCCCAAAGTTCACCCACATCGGCAGGTTCGATGAGCAAGTCATTTGTCTCTTCCGAGACCGTGGCGTTGTGGCGCACAAAGCCTGCCTTTTTAAAACAGTTCTTGAGTGTAACCTGCTTCACCTCATACCACGCACCATGCACGAACCGCACCGCTTCTAACAAGCTCACCTTCAGGTCAGGAGGTCCGCCGGCGTATTGAGACAATCCTGAGCAGTCTAGTTTCATGATGAGCCATTCCAGCATGCGACGTCTGTAGAGGGCCTTGAAATTGGCGATTACGCCGGCATCCATGGGCTGCAGACCTGCCGTGGTGTTCGGAGGCAGAAACATTACCTCAACGGACGTTAGCTTCGGGCTGACGTTGTGTGCGCTGCAGTTGTCGAGGAGCAGCACCACTTTCCTCTTCTGCTTCTCCATAGCGCCGTCAAACTCGAGGAGCCATTCCTCAAAGAGATCTCGCGTCATCCACGCTTTCTTGTTATTTCGATAGCGGACTGGAATGCATTGATTCCTAAAGCAGTGAGGCCTTTTCGATTTCCCGATCACAAAGGGCTTGAGACGCTCGGTACCGTCCATGTTTGCGCACACAAACACCGTCACCCGGACCTTGCTATGTTTGCCACCAACGCACGGGTCACCTTTCAGCGCGTGCGTCTTTGTAGGCAGCATCTCATAAAAGAGTGCTGTTTCATCGCCGTTGAAAATGTCACTTTCTTG